TTTTGCTCTGGCTGGTCTCAAACTTGTTAGCTCAAGCAGTCCACCTGCCTCAGCCTACCAGAGTGCTGGGATTACAATGGTGAGCCACTGTGCCCGGCCCTTTTTATTTATTTATTTTATTTTTTAAATTATTTAAATTTTTTTGAAGTGTGTTTTATTTTTTTCTGATTTTATTTTTTTCACGATTATACTCATTTCTTAATAGTTTTGAAATGTATCATTGCATCATGTACATTAGGTGAGATCCCCCCAGATAACCTTCTTCCTCTCATAGCCCCCATCCCCTCCCCTCTCTCTCCTCTTCCCTTCTACTTTCTGGACTATAATTATGTTTTGCCATTTGTATGAGTGTGTAAGTGGTTATATATTGATTTCATAGTAGTATGGAGTACATTGGATACTTTTTTTTCCCATTCTTGAGATACTTTACTAAGAAGAGTATGTTCCAGATCCATCCCGGTAAACATAAAAGATGTGAAGTCTCCATCTTTTTTATGGCTGCATAGTATTCCATGGTGTACATATACCATAGTTTGTTAATCCATTCATGGGTCGATGGGCACTTGGGCTGTCTCCATGTCTTGGCTATTGCAAATTGTGCGCCTGGTCCTTTTTATATAAATTGAGCTGAAATTTAGGAAAATATGAGTGAGCATACAGAGGGTCTTGAATTGGTTCATGAAGCAATAGGGTGGCTGTCTGGATAGGTCGGTGACTTAGAATGTTCATGCAAGTGTTGTATCTGAGCGGAGATAAGAAGCCCCTGTTGTTCTGCCGAAATTGAAGGAGCCAGTCTGAACAACTAGTCCCGTGGCCCGAGAGCACATGGGGAAGTTCACTCTTAGGAAAGGCACTTTACAAAGGAAAAAGAATAAGTGATCGGGAACATAGTAAATATAATCATTTTGTAAGTCTTTCCTTAGAGTTTAGGGTGCAGCGATAGTGATGTTTGCTATGATTTGAACAGAAGTAGAATATTTGTTATTCTCAAACATGCCTTACAGTTTTGTGTCATGGAAAATAATGAGATATATAATTTGCCAAGAGCATGAATACTATGACTTGACTACATTTTCTGTTTCTAAGCAATAAAACTTCAGACATTTCTATAGTGTAAATTCTTACCACCTTCTAGGTCAGGAATCCGTGTCTCATTTTCCCAGTATCCAGTGGTTCTCAACCTTCCAAATGCCGTGGCCCTTTAAGAACCGCTGATTTATGCACAGTGCCTTTATTCCTCAGAGCAATATCTCTGGGGAATATCACTAATGCTCATACCGATATTAACACCAATACCATAATAATAGGTAACATTGTTTACAGTGTGCTGAGCACTGTTCCAGGGGCTACACAATATTAGCTCCTGTGTTCCTCACACACAAACCGTATGAGCTAAATACTAGTGTTATGTTCATTTTCGAAGTGAAGAAGCTGAGGCACAGCAAGGGAAGTAACTTGTCAAAGTTCACAAGCTAAGCTAGTACACAGTAGAACTGGAATGTGAGCTCCAGCACGGGCCCTGGTCGTG